CAGCCGGAGGTTCACGGAAACCTGCTGCACTCTGATGTCCCTCATTGGTAGCGGAGGTCTGCGCTGAGAGCCCCAACCGAGCACCCGATAACGGCATTGAGGATCTATCCGCCTGCGACTTTGACAGGCACTCGTTCACGGTTTGCTGTTGCCGAGTCGTAGCTGCTGAAGAGAGCGCAGGCTGCCTGGATGAGTCAGTCTCCAGGATGGACATGTCGGGGTTCCTACCAGCTCTAGCTGCCAGGAACTGGAACATTGCCGGACATTTGACAGCATGATCCCGACTATCCTTGGCCTCACTTCCACAGAACTGACAGGGCCTGGAGAACAGAGCAACAAGACTCTGCGCACCAGAGTGTGCATTTCGGCGACCAAGCTCCCAGGCCGCTGCATGTTGTTGCTGCCAGTGGATCTTGATCTGGGTGGCATGCCGAACTCGTTGAGTGCATAGTATACACTGTTTGGCAAGACATGTAAGTTGATGACCTTGTGTCCGAAGAATGGTGATGGGATCGTCCAACATCTGTCGAGCTTTCTCAAGGGACTGCATTTCCAGGAGATCATTTGGGGGTTAGGGCGAATGACGAGTTTCACGGGCCTCGATAAGTTGTAATAGCTCAATTGAGGCATGTCCCTCCGCAATCTTCTCCTTCACCCAACTGCAATGGCCATCCTGAATATGTTTGGTGATGGACGACCAGTCGTGTAGACGTAAGTGACAAAAGCGACACATGGGAATGCCAAACAGGGTGTGGCTCTCCCTGTCAAAGACAAGCTTAGATCGATGCGCAATGTCCGGATGTTTCTTCTTGATGTGTTGCGACAGACCTTCACGTGTACCAAAGTATGTGCCACATTCGGGACATGCAATCTCACCGACCTCGGCCTTGCGTACATACAGGATGTGCGTTCCCTCCGGCTGTGCTGCATGCGCGGAAAGCTGCTCCAAGATTTCACGTACTCGATGCATCTCCCTCTGCTTGAGGCCCTGGCTCCGGAAGCAATCCAGCGTGATGGATCGACCAAGGCGTTGTACACCTGTGAGGAGAATGGCAATGGGATCAATGCATGCGCGTCGAAGTACTTCAGCATTTGAGATGCCATGCTCGTAGATGCGGAGAATCTTACGCATGTGTCCAGCCACTGTCGAGGAAACCTTTCGAACAACCTCAACCGTCACCCCCACACCAACCAGACCGTAAACAAGGGAGCTAAGGACAATGGCCCGATAGAGTCGCACTCTGTGGCCTGTAGAGAGCGCGCTGCGCGACCGCAGGGGTTTGCGAAGTTGCCTGAAGGCATTATCTGCTTTTTGGGCACGAAGCTGCACGGTTTGGGACTCAAAGCCAGAGTACGAGAGAACGGTTCCCAAGTAGTCCAGTCTATCCACGCATGGCAGATAAATGTCTTGATCAGCCTGAATGCGTAGACACTGCACACCATGCCTCTGCTTGAAGAATTTCTTCTGCATCTTGGCAACAAGCTGACCTCGAAGTTGGATGACAATCTGGGACTTGGTGTAGTTGATTTGCAGACCCATCGATTCTAGAGTGTCAATAAGCACTCGAAGATGCTGTACGGAATCACAAAGTTCTCGCTCATTCCGAATGATCCAGCTGCCATGAGTGTCGTCTGCGAAGATGCTGAGATGTCGACGGGACCAGCCATCGCCGAGCACAGCATCCAAGCGACGGCAAAGCCTGACAGTCCAGCACGCATACAGTATTGGTGCAATCGGACACCCCTGACGTAATCCTCGAGTCATGTGGATGCGTTGAGTCAGTCCCCCATGATCAATTACGCAGACAGAACGACAATGTACCTGCATAACCACGTTTGCCAGGTGAAGCGGAACACCAGCCTCGCACATGGAACAATAGAGCTCTGAATGAGGCACAGAATCGAAGGCTTTCGCCAAGTCCAAGCTACACATAAACCCCCCCACAAGGCTAACCCTGGGCTCATCAAGAATCTTGCTGGTGTGATCAATCTGATGCCGACGCAACAAGTCGCGAACCTCGGTGCAATGTAGACTGGAGCGCAGGAGGCATCCAGCGTGCCAGGCTGGGGCCGATAGGCATACTGTGGCACGTCAGTGAGCGCCTCTCGGATGAAAGGGGTGATCTCCCGTCTCAGGATGAGAAGAAAGCCCTTGCTATCTGCAGAGAGTAGGCCTATGGAACGCAGATGCTCCGGGCAAGTTGGAGTCTTGTTAGGTTTCGGCAACCAAGCAAGCTGAACAATACTCCACTCATGAGGCAGAGCAGGAGAATCTTGACAAAGGGCCTGCTGGGACACCCAAGCCAGGGAGGATGCAGCCATCGCAATGTTGTCCTTCCACATCTTCACCGCCGGCTCATGTCGCGGAACAGCTTTGTGTGATGTCAACTGTGATATCGCCCATGTCCAAGACTCAACAGAGA